TTGTCCTTCCCCTGCTCCAGCACAGCCCATGGCTGCCCAGCATCCCAGGGCCAGGCCTGGCTGCCCCTAGGCCTAGCATTGTACCACAAGGGCCTGCTCCCGTTTCAGTTGGTATCTGAGGGCTCAGCACCCTCCCCTGGGCCTCTAGCGCTGAACTGAGCACTGGAAATCGAGTCCCACCATTGGATGGAGCTGGCTGACTTCAACCAGTTTCCAGCAGGAAATTAAGAAACATCTTCAAGCTTGTCATCCCAGCACTTTGGGAGGCCGAGGCGGGTGGATTATGCGGTCAAGAGATGAAGACCATCCTGGCCAACATAGTGAAACCCTGTCTCTTCTAAAAATACAAAAATTGCCAGGCGCGGTGGCTCACGCCTGTAATCCCAGCACTTTGGGAGGCCAAGGCAGGCAGATCACGAGATCAGGAAATCGAGACCATCCTGGCTAACACGGTGAAATCTCGTCTCTACTAAAAATACAAAAAATTAGCCGGGCGCAGTGGCGGTGCCTGTAGTCCCAGCTACTCGGGAGGCTGAGGCAGGAGAATGGCATGAACTCGGGAGGTGGAGCTTGCAGTGAGCCGAGATGGTGCCACTGCACTCCAGCCTGGGCGACAGAGCGAGACTCCAACTCAAAAAAAAAAAAAAATTAGCGAGGAGTGGTGGCGGGCGCCTGTAGTCCCTACTACTTGGGAGGCTGAGGCAGGAGAATCACTTGAACCTGGGAGGTGGAGGTTGCAGTGAGCTGAGATCGCACCACTGCACTCCAGCCTGGGCAACAGAGCAAGACTCTGTCTCAAGAAAACAAACAAAAACAAGAAAACATCTGGCCTCTGGGGTAGACAGTGGGGACTGGGAGTCACCAACACGCCCCTCCAGGAATGGAAGGAACAGGCAGACCACAGCAAAACCCCCATGCCTGGCCAGGTGCCGTGGTTCACACTTCTAATCCCAGCACTTCGGGAGGCTGAGACGGGTGGATCACTCGAGGCCAAGAGTTCAAGACCAGCCTGGCCAACATGGTGAAACCCCTGTCTCTACTAAAAATACACACACACACACGAAATTATCCGGCCGTGGTGGTGGGTGCCTGTGGTCCCAGCTACTCGGGAGACTGAGGCAGGAGAATCACTTGAACCCAGGAGGTGAAGTCTGCAGTGAGCCGAGATCGTACCACTGCACTCCAGCCTGGGCGACAGAATGAGACTGTCTCAAAAATAAAAAATCCCACGCCCAGCGACAGGCCCCTCCGCACAATGCCCCAAACTCAGGGAGCCCCGGTCTCTGCCCGATGCACCTGCTTATTCCATCCTGGGTTCTGTGTTTACCACCCCCAGGAACGGCCCCGCCCCCCACCTCACCCAATCAGCCTCACCAGGAAGCTCTGGAAACCAACAGGCCCCAGCCTGTTTACTTCTTTGCTCCTTAATCACTGGTTCACTAGGCCCACAGAACAAGACGGGGTTCCCCCTCCACCCCCGTCCCCGCCTGTGCCCAGCCCGCAGAGGCGCTCACTGCCTGTTTGTTGAATGAATAACTAGACTTCTGTCGATACACTTCCCGAGGGCTGCTTCCTCTGTTTCCCACGCCACTCGACAAGACCACTTTACAGACGGGGAAACTGAGGACCCGGCGGGAGTATCTGAGGCTTCCTGGACCCTGAAGGCTCGAGGATGTGTGTCCACGGAGTGGGAGGCAGCCCGAGCCGAGGAGCTGCTGGGGTTTGGGGGAACAGGCCTCCTGGTCACTCCCAATTCTACTCCTTGCAGATTTTGAGAGGGCAACTTTTTTTTTTTTTTGCCCTCAGTCCCTTGGGCAAAAAACACCTTTCCCAGCACTGGCCCCTCCCCCGGGAACCCACAAGAGAGAGCAAGAGAGGAACCCACTTGTCCATCAGGAAGTCAGGGCTCAGGGTGGAGGTGACTCAGCCTGGGGTGGGGCCGACTGGGGCGGTCCCCAGCAGCCTCCAACTCCCCACCAGGACACAGCTGGCAGGTAAACACCCAGCTACTGAGGGCTGAGAGCGGAAACATGAGTGTATTTACATAGTTACACAACAGTCACTACACCTGGGCTATAATCCCAGCGCTTTAGGAGGCCAAGGCAGGTGGATCACCTGAGGTCAGGAGTTTGAGACCAGCCTGGCCAATGCAGTGAAACCTTGTCGCTGCTAAAATTAGCTGGGTATGGTGGCACATGCCTGTAATCCCAGCTACTCAGGAGGGTGAGGCAGGAGAATCCCTTGAACCTGAGAGGCAAAGGCTGCGGTGAGCGGAGATCGTGCCACTGCGCTCCAGCCTGGCCGACAGAATAAGACCCACCCCCCAAAAAACAGAAGACACAGGAAGAGCCCATTTTGAGGGTAAATGCCCACTCCAGGTGGTTCAAGGCCACGTTGGAAGAGACATTACGTGGGTGCTGTGGCTCATGCCTGTAATCCCAGCACTTTGGGAGGCTGAGGCAGGTGGATCACCTGAGGTCGGGAGTTCAAGACCAGCCTGACCAACATGGAGAAATAGCTGGGTGTGGTGGCACATGCCTGTAATCCCAGCTACTAGGGAGGCTGAGGGAGGAGAATTGCTTGAACCCAGGAGGTGGAGGTTGCAGTGGGCCGAGATTGCGCCATCGCACTCCAGCCTGGGCAACAAGAGCGAAACTCCGTATAAAAAAAAAAAAAAAAAAAAGGCCGGGCGCGGTGGCTCAAGCCTGTAATCCCAGCACTTTGGGAGGCCGAGACGGGCGGATCACGAGGTCAGGAGATCGAGACCATCCTGGCTAATATGGTGAAACCCCGTCTCTACTAAAAATACAAAAAACTAGCCGGGCGAGGTGGTGGGCGCCTGTAGTCCCAGCTACTCGGGAGGCTGAGGCAGGAGAATGGCGTAAACCCGGGAGGCGGAGCTTGCAGTGAGCTGAGATCTGGCCACTGCACTCCAGCCTGGGCGACAAAGCGAGACTCCGTCTCAAAAAAAAAAAAAAAAAGCCAGGCATGGTGGTGCACACCTGTGGTCCTAGCTACTCGGGAGGCTGGGGCAAGAGGATCGCCTGAGCTCGAAGGTGAAGGATGCAGTGAGCGGTGATCAAACCACTGCACTCCAGCCTGGGTGACAGAGTGAGATAATACTCTATCACCTATCACCAGTAATACTAGGCCGGGTGCAGTGGCTCACGCCTGTAATCCCAGCACTTTAGGAGGCCAAAGTGGGCAGATCATGAGGTCAAGAAACCAAGACCATCCTGGCTAACACGGTGAAACCCTGTCTCTACTAAAAATACAAAAAAATTCGCCGGGTGTGGTGGCGGGCGGCTGCAGTCCCAGCTACTCGGGAGGCTGAGGCAGGAGAATGTCGAGAACCCGGGAGGCAGAGCTTGCAGTAAGCCGAAATTGCACCACTGCACTCCAGTTCGGGCGATAGAGCGAGACTCTGGCTCAAAAAACAAACAAACAAACAAACAAATAAATAAATACAAATAATACTAAAGGTCGGGCACCATGGCTCACGCCTGTAATCCAAGAACTTTGGGAAGCCCAGGCAGGCAGATCATGAGGTCAGGAGATCAAGACCATCCTGGCCAACATGATGAAACCCCGTTTCTACTAAAAATACAACAATTAGCTGGGTGCGGTGGCAGGCACCTATAGTCCCAGCTACTCGGGGGGCTGAGGCACGAGAATCACTTGAACCCGGGAGGTGGAGGTTGCAGTGAGCTGAGACTGCCCCACTGCACTCAAGCCTGGGCGACAGAGCAAGCCTCTGTCTCAAAATATTATTACTACTAATATAACGAATAAAACATTAACGATAATTAGTAATGAGACCATGGACACTCCCGTTTGCTGGGCCTGCCCCAGTGCTAGCTCTGTAACCCCCACCACTCGGAGAAGAGGCCCCACTTACTATCCCATTTTACAGAAGGGGAAACTGAGGCACAGGAGCGTTAACCTGCCCAGGTGGCGCCCTCTGCACACGGAGGAGGCAGGAACACAACACGCGCTGCCTCCTCGCCCCCCACCAACGCGGACCCCAGGGGTGCACCCTGGGTCCCCGGGTCCCTGTGCGGGCCGGGGTGACACACGGGTGACCCCCGCACAGACAGCCCCGCTTCCAGGTCCCCCCGAAGGATGGACGAACGGGCTCCTGCTTGCCAGGTTTTAACCCACAAGGGTTGTGGGGATTTACCCAAAGGAGAACAAGGAGCCGGGTCTGCCCGGAAAGGCAGGGGGCGCAGACAAGCCCAGAGGGCAAGTGGGACTGGGACCAGGCTGGAGCGCATGGGTGAACCCCGACCCGCGGATAGGGGCCGTTGCTGGCACCTCGGGCTGATCGGGGAGTCGGGGGACGGATCTGGGAGTGAGGGCGTGGATCAGGGGAGTGAGGGGGGCAGACCCGGGGAGTGGGGGCGCGGACCCGGGGAGTGGGGGGATGGACCCTGGATTGGGGTCAGGGACCGGGGAGTCGTGGGGGGGTGGACTCGGGGAGTGGGGGGCCGGACCCGGGGAGTGGGGGGGCGGAACCAGGGAGTGGGGGAGCAGACCGGTGTAGTGGGGGGGCGGACCCGGGAGTGGGCGGCACGGACCCGAGGAGCGGGGGGGCGGCGGACCCGGGGAGTGGGGGCACGGACCAGGGAGTTGGGGGAAGGACCTGGGGGGTCAGGGGGCGGACCGGGGAGTGGGGGGGCGGACTCGGGAGTGGGGTCGCGGACCAGGGGAGTGGGGGGGGCGGACCCGGGACTTGGGGAGGTGGACCAGGGAGTGGGGGGCAGAACTGGTAAGTGGGCACGCGGACCCGGATCCCCTCCCCCAGCAAGCCCCCGGCACGCCAGGAGGGTGTCCCCGCTGGGTAACAATGAAGACCCCCGCCCCAGCCTGGGGGTCCACAGCGGGAAGCCCCGGAAGGGGAACGAGGGCAAGGAATGGGAGGGAGGGGAGGCGGGGAGAGGATCGCAGGGAAGGGATCCCAGCCCCACTGCACCCGCCGCGCCCCGACCGCCCGCGCTCACAGCAGCCGCCGCCCGCCCGCGGTGCCCTCCGCCGCCTCGGGGCCGCACTCGGGGTTCTCCAGCGCCACCATAACTCGCACGCTGTTGCTACCGCCGCCGCCGCCCGGCAGGGCCTTCACCGGGCCGTGCAGGAAGTGACGGGCGCCCGGAGGCGGGCAGGGGCGGGGCCTGGGGCTGCGCGGCGGGGCGGGGGCACCCACCTCCCGGCTGCCGGGAACCAACGCGGAAACCCAGGCGCGCGGGAAGGGGATCCAGCCCCTGGAGGGACGCACAGGGAGACTGAGGCGGGAGGCGGGGCCCGGCCACGATCCCTACACCCAGAAATCTAGCTCCGGGGGGGACGGACACCTAGGCGAGGAGTCGAAAACTCAACCACAACACCTGCGTCCCGAACCTGGGCTGCGGACTGAGCCAGGAATCCAGCCCAGGGAGGCGAGGAGACACGGACAGGGTAACTGAGGCCTGGGTAGTGGCGAGGGAGGGGACGTCCCTTTTGGTGGCAGAGGATAGCGGAAATCAACACTGTCCGAGCCTTCTTCCACCTGCCCCTCCCAGTCCTGGAGCCTCGGCTGGGCAACCCCTTCCCCTGCTTAGCCTCAGTTTACTCTTCTCTAAAATTAGGCCTGGTGGCCGACGTGAGGGCTCACGCCTGTAACCCCAGCACTTTGGGAGGCCAAGGCCGGTAGATCACTTGAGTCCAGGTGTCTGAGACCAGCTTGGACAACATGATGAAAACCCATCTTTAAAATAAAAAGAAAGAAAGAAAGAGCAACAGGGAGGCCGGGCACAGTGGCTCACACCTGTAATCCCAGCACTTTGAGAGGCCAAAGCCAGTGGATCACTTGAGGTCAGGAGTTTGAGACCAGCCTGGCCAACGTGGCAAAATCCCATCTCTACTAAAAATGCAAAAATCAGCTGGGCATGGTGGTGCGCATCCGTAGTCCCAGCTACTCTGGAGGCTGAGGCACAAGAATCGCTTGAACTTGGGAGGCAGAGGTTGCAGGGAGCTGCTCCACTGCACTCCAGCCCAGGCAACAGAGTGAGACTCTGTCTCAAAAAAATAAAAATAAAAAATGAAAAAGGCTGGCACGATGGCTCACGACTGTAATTCCAGCACTTTGGAAGTCCAAGGCAGACGAATCACGGGGTCAGAAGATCGAGACCATCCTGGCTAACACTGTGAAACCCTGTCTCTACTAAAAAAAATACAAAAAATTAGCCCAGATCGTGCCACTGCACTCCAGCCTGGGCAACAAGAGCAAAACTCCCTCCCCCCGCCAAAAAAAGAGAAAGATAAATAAATTGCACAGGATGAAAGACCTGATTACTTTACAAATAAAGAGTAAGGAGGATAAAGAAAAGGAGGAGAGGCCGGGCGCGGTGGCTCAAGCCTGTAATCCCAGCACTTTGGGAGGCCGAGACGGGCGGATCACGAGGTCACAAGATCAAGACCATCCTAGCTAACATGGTGAAACCCAGTCTCTACTAAAAAAATACAAAAAACTAGCCGGGCGAGGTGGCGGGCGCCTGTAGTTCCAGCTACTCCGGAGGCTGAGGCAGGAGAATGGCGTAAACCCGGGAGGCGGAGCTTGCAGTGAGCTGAGATCTGGCCACTGCACTCCAGCCTGGGCGACAGAGCAAGACTCCGTCTCAAAAAGAAAAAAAAAAAAGAAAAGGAGGAGAAACTATGGATGGACCCAAAAGAGCGCATACTGTGAGATTCCTATAGACGAATGTGCAAAGAGGTGAAAGAGGACAATGGGGAGATGTACCCGGAGCGACTGGCAGGGGAGCTGGGCATCGGGAATGAGTGGTTTCCCCATCCATCAGGCACAGGGTAAGGGTAGGTGCTCAAAGAATGGACCTGAACATTTATTCCAGAGCGAGGGAGGCAACTCCAGAGACTTAGCCTGGGCCTTCCTCCCAGTCTGGATTCCGGGGCTTCCCTCCAGGGGCCTGTCCTGCCTGTGTCATCTCCTTCTCCTTCTCCTCCTTCTCCTTCTCCTTCCCTTCTTCCTCCTCCCCCTCCTCCTCCTCTTCCTTCTTCTTCCTTCTTCCCTCTGTCATCGTCGTGGTCTTCTTCCTCTTCTTCTTCTTCTTCTTCCTCCTCCTCCTCCTTCTTTCTTCTTTTTTTGGAGAGAGTCTTGCTCTGTCACCCAGCCTGCAGTTACACAATCTCAGTTCACTGCAACCTCCACCTCCTGGGCTCAAGTGATTCTCCTGCCTCAGTCTCCCAAGTAGCTGGGATTACAAGCGCCTGCCACCAAGCCCGGGTAATTTTTGTTTTTTTTTTGTTTTTTTGGGTTTTTTTTGAGACGGAGTCTTGCTCAGTCGCCCAGGCTGGAGTGCAATGGCCGGATCTCGGCTCACTGCAAGCTCTGTCTCCCGGGTTCAGCCCATTCTCCTGCCTCAGCCTCCCGAGTAGCTGGGACTACAGGCGCCGCCACTACGCCTGGCTAGTTTTTCTTTTTTGTATTTTTAGTAGAGACGGGGTTTCACTGTGTTAGCCAGGATGGTCTCGATCTTCTGACCTCGTGATCTGCCCGTCTCAGCCTCCCAAAGTGCTGGGATTACAGGCGTGAGCCACTGCGCCTGGCCAATTTTTGTATTTTTAGTAGAGACCAGGTTTCACCATGTTGGCCAGGCTGATCTCCAACTCCTGACCTCAAGTGATCCACCTGCATCGGCCTCCCAACGTGAATTACAAGCATGAGCCACTGCGCCTGGCCTATTCATTTCTTTTCTCCCTTTTTAGTCTTTTTTATGCAAATGGCAGCAACTTTTTCTTTGCTGTGTGTTACTCCATGATGACCAAACATCTTGGAAATCTGTTGCAGGATGGACTTCGAGGGGACCTCCTGGATATCATCTTGAAGTATACTTCCAGCTGTGGGATAATGGGGTCAAGGTTGTGCTGACGGGGCTGGGTGGCTCATACTTGTCATCCCAGCACTTTGGGAGGCTGAGGCAGAAGGACTGCTTGAGCTCAGGAGTTCAAGACAAGCCTGGGCAACCTGGTGAGATCCCGTCTCTACAAAAAAATTTAAAAATAAATTAGCTGGGCCGGGCGCGGTGGCTCACGCCTGTAATCCCAGCACTTTGGGAGGCCGAAGTGGGTGGATCACCTGCGCTCAGGAGATCGAGACCAGCCTGGCCAACATGGTGAAACCCCATCTCTACTAAAAATACAAAAAATTAGCTGGGCATGGTGGCAGGTGCCTGTAATCCCAGCTACTTGGGAGGCTGAGGCAGGAGAATTGCTTGAACCCAGGAGGCAGAGGTTGCAGTGAGCTGAGATTGTGGCATTGCACTCCAGCCAGGGCAAAAAGAGCGAAATTCTGTCTCAAATAATAATAATAATAATAGCTGGACATAGTGATGCATGACTGTCATCATCATGCATCATCTCGTCAGCAACTCCTAAGTGGTCCCATCTACTTAGGAGGCTGAGGTGGGAGGATTGCTTCAACCCGGGAGGTGGAGTCTGCAGTGAGCTGTGATCACACCACTGCACTCCAACCTGGGTGACATAGGGAGACCCTGTCTCAAGAATAATAATAATAGTCTGGGCTCGGTGACTCACATCTGTAATCCCAGCACTTTGGGAGGCCGAGGCGGATGAATTATTTGAGGTCAAGAGAGAGAGACCATCCTGGCCAACATGGTGAGACGGGGTCTCTACTAAAAGTACAAAAATTAGCTGGGCATGGTGGTGCACGCCTATAGTCCCAGCTACTTGGGAGGTTGAGGCAGGAGAATCACTTGAGCTGGGAGGCAGAGGTTGCTTTGAGCCGAGAGTGTGCCACTGCACGCCAGCCTGGCAACAGAGACACCCTCTCTCATTGATAATAATAGGCCGGGCACGGTGGCTCACACCTGTCATCCCAGCACTTTGGGAGGCCGAGGCGGGTGAATCACGATGTCAGGAGATCGAGACCATCCTGGCTAACACGGTGAAACCCCGTCTCTACTAAAAATACAAAAAATTAGCAAGGCGTGGTGGCGGGCGCCTGTAGTCCCAGCTACTTGGGAGGCTGAGGCAGGAGAATGGTGTGAACCTGGGAGGCGGAGCTTGCAGTGAGCCTAGATCGTGCCACTGCACTCCAGCCTGGGCCACAGAGCGAAACTGCGTCTCAAAATAATAATAATAATAATAATAAATAATAAGGCTGTGGCCTTTGTAAGGTGCCCTCCACCTGGTTCCCGCTGGTAGTGTCCCTGTGGGTGGGTATCAGCCACTCCTTGTCAATCATGTGGGACACATTCAGTCCCAAACCGCCAGATCAGAGATGTCCCTCACCTACCTGGAACTTTAATGGCCCTCCAGGGTCCTGGGGACAAACCCAAGCTATCCCCACTCAGGGTCTCCGGTGAGGGCTGGCCTCCCCGCCAGCCTGGGCCCATCCACCTGGAGCCCCAGCCCCTAGGAGGGTCAAAGGCCGTCCCATATTCACAAGCCTTATGGTTGGCGAATCGGTTGGGCTCCTAGTCTGGACTAACCATCAGTGGGTTAAGGTCGGTCCTTCCAGGTCCACAGCAGCCTCCACGCCGCCCACCCCCTGCCTGCTCCACCCCCCTCAGCCTCCTCCCGCGCTCTCACTCCGACCTTGCACCGGGAGGAGGGAATAGGGGGGTCGCCGCTGGGTGAACAGAGGGCGTGTGGGCAGGGGAGGGAGTGGCGAGCGGCTGCCAGAGAGGCGGGAAGGCAAGGACAAGGGGGGGCACGGGCTATAAACGTTCCGCTGCAGCGGCGCTGGCAGAGGAGTCACCGAGCCCAGCCCAGCTGCCCTCTGGACCCCGCGGGCTCCAGCCAAGGCCCCTTCCTGAGTTCCGCAGGCGCAACCCGCAGGCGGCCGGGCGGAGGGGTCTCCGGGGCGGTGCCAGGGCGCAATCCAGGAGGGCGGCCGGGAGGAGGAGGCGCGCGCGGCCATGCACACCGTGGCTATGTCGGGGCCCAATGCCTCCTGGGGGGCGCCGGCCAACGCCTCGGGCTGCCCGGGCTGCGCTGCCAACGCCTCGGACGGCCCGGTCCCTGCGCCGCGGGCAGTGGACGCCTGGCTCGTGCCGCTCTTCTTTGCGGCGCTGATGCTGCTGGGCCTGGTGGGGAACTCGCTGGTCATCTACGTCATCTGCCGCCACAAGCCGATGCG